TACTTCTGCTGAGGTCACGCTGAGATGCTCTTCATCCGGTGGTGAAGAGCATCTCAGCGTGACCTCAGCAGTTATATAACAGCTATAACAGTTATAATAAATGTAACAACAGTTGTAATAAATATAACAGTTATAATAAATGTAACAACAGTTATAATAAATATAACAGTTATAATAAATATAACAGTTATAATAAATGTAACAACAGTTATAATAAATATAACAGTTATAATAAATGTAACAACAGTTATAATAAATATAACAGTTATAATAAATATAACAACAGTTATAATAAATATAACTGTTATAATAAATATAACAACAGTTATAATAAATATAACAACAGTTATAATAAATATAACAGTTATAATAAATGTAACAACAGTTATAAGAAATATAACAGTTATAATAAATATAACAACAGTTATAAGAAATATAACAGTTATAATAAATATAACAACAGTTATATTAAATATAACAACAGTTATAATATATAACAACAACAGTTAATAAATATAACAACAGTTATAATAAAAGTCAGAGAGCAGAGTGTTTTTGTGCTGCTCACCCTTTTTCAGCATGTAGGAGCAAAACTAATAAAATCCAGGCTCCAAAAAGATGTTAGTTATTCACCAGTTTGGACTAACTGTCATGCAGATGCTGCATGGGCGATGAATGCAGCTGAGCTCTGCATCAGTGTTGCCAGATAAATTTAAAAATTCTTATTTACCTACCCCCTCCTTTTCTGTGCATGTTCAACAAATACAACTCACACCTCATCTAAAGCCCTATTCACACGGAATTAGTTTTACCTTTGGACCACACGTAATAAATAAATTACTCCTCAACGTCTGCTTTTTATGCGGCGCATTCGCACGGGATAACGAAAGCCTGAGATTTAGCTGAAGTTTACAGACATCTTCCGGATATGATGTTAACGCGAAAAGGAAGCAGTGGGTAAATATAATGGATGGATGGATTGGTGGATAGATGGATGGGTCAGCTGATCACATGCATGTCTCCACACCTGCTGTCATTTGCGGTGAAGGAAGTAGCAGCATAAAAGCCGAAGCGAGCAGCGCGTTCATTTAAAGTAGCCTTGTTCTTTGTTTTTCCAAATGATTTTCCTTAAACAAAAACAAAAACGCCTCATTACATATCGGATCCCGCCCATTTCTGTCCAAATCACAGAGATGCCTATTTGCATTATATTGGTATTATCACAGGACCTCGGAGTTCAGCAAAATATAGCAGGTAATTTACGGGGGAATTTTTACTTTACAAATTACAGACATGGCCAATTTGCACAAGATTAACAAACAGAGACAATTTCCGTAATTATTACAAATAGCATGTGGTCTCTAGGTAAAACTAATCCTGTGCGAATAGGGCTTTAGAATATCTTTACTCAGCACATATGTCAGTACAGGTCACAACAATACTATAATTTTAAAGCCAAAATACTATAGTTCATCATTTTTTTATCTGGCAACCCGACTGACATGGAAACTACAGTGTTTTCATGTAAACCTGCTTTTTTTGTTTATCCTCAATAAACGTTGAAAAACACTAACATTTCCAGAGGTGGTTCTTTGTAAACGGGGTCTTATAGCAGGTAGATCCCTTTGACTTAGTCATTTTTAAAGGAGCTCCATGATGAAAATGTCTGGACACCCCTAGGTTCAATCGATCATCAGTGTTGAACAATCAATCATTATACAGGCCTGAAGGCCGCGTGTTACTCACCGAACCAGCCTGAGAACAACCAAGTCAAAATGGTTAAAAAAAACGGCTTCCATGAAGCCACTTCATTACAACTTTCTGTTTTATTTTGCGTTTTGTTTCGTAAGCGACGTCACTTTGGTTCGTCAGGTGTACAAACAGTCGGAGAGGGAGTAGCTAAGAGTCACTCACAACGTGTGCTGTCGTTTCATGAGTCGTGACCAAATGGACCAGTCGCCCATCAAATAAACGTTCATTGCTCGCCGAAGCTTCACCACGTGTCATTAAACCTAAAAACCTGAGCTCTATCCTCTCCTGCTGGTCCTGCTCTCTTTGGTCCTTCGTTTCTGTATTTGCAGGCGAAGGTCGGCTCGTGTTGACACAAGTCAACGCCTCATTTGACTGTGTGTTGTCAGTGTCGCAGCAGCAGCTTTCAGATGCAAATGAAGCTCCTGGAAGCAGATGTGGACTTCACAGGACATCACGAGGAGCCCGAAGCATGAATCGGCTCTTTGGCCTTTTCATGACTCAGCTGAACCTCTACAGGTCCAAACTTGTTGAGCTGCTAAAACCAGTCAGTCTTTGTTTGTAGGGAAGGCGTGTGTGTGTGTGTCTTGGTCAGGTGTTGCTTCAGAGCTGGCCCGGTTGGGTTGGTTCTGACGGACACTCCCTCCTTTAGAAGTTGGAGCGCTCCACGACTCAGACTTCAGTCTCGCCATGAAGATCGAACTGTTCACCTGCGGAGTCCTGCTGCTGGCCTTGAAGGCTCCAGGTGAGTCTCACCCCTGAGTCTGGACCTCACCTGTCTGTCCCCGGAGGACGGACACAAACACGTGTTTACCTTCACACCGACCAAATGTTTACTTTTGTTTACCTTTTGAAAGAGCTGCTCAGTGACTCGGTTTGGTTTGACCGGGTCCGTCCGACCTGAGGGAGCAGCTGTTGTTCTGAGGGTTTTGTTGTTGTTGTTGTTTCAGATTGTTTGGTTTTGTTTACTTTGTTCTGATGTTTGATTTCCAAATGGGCTTAGAAGCCGTTGAACCAGCAGAGATGTTCCGAGGATCCGTCAGAGGAACCGTTACATTCTCTGACAGGTCACTCAGGTCTTCACGAGAGCTTTAAAGGGATAGTTCAGCCTTTTTGAAGCAGCGTTCTGTGTTAAAGTTAATATGAACAGACTAATTAGTATTTTCTGACAACAGAAAATTAGCCGAAATCATCAAAACAGATGCTCAAAACAGAACGCTAAATTGAGAGGAACATGAGCTAAATTGAGCAGAAGACTAGCTGAAACAATCAGAAGACGAGCTAAAATGAACAAAGCATGAGCTAAATCGCAGACGCTAAGCCGAAATGAACTAATCAGAAGCTAAACTCTAAATATTCTCTAAAGTAACAAAACATTTAAATCAGCTAAACAGATGTACAAAGTTTAAAAAGAACAGAAGCAAAAAAGAAGCTAAAGACTGAAAGTAGCTAAAAAATAAAAACAGTAAAACTGTAATGAATGGCAACATTTAAATAAACTGTAACTAAATTTAAAATCAATTAGTGAACGAGTAGCTCATTCATTCACTCAACCTTTATTTCTACAGGTTAATCCCATTGAGCCTCAGAAACTCATTACCTGATTTAACAACGAGTGATGACAACAACAACAACAACAACAACAATAGACAGTCAAAAAGGACGCGTACAAAATGAGTATTTTTTTTAACAAGTGAAAAATAAAATGGTATTTAAAAGAAAATGCAATTTAAAAAACAGCTAGATTGTGGGGCGCTGTAGAAAACTAAAAACAAGAACATGTCTGCACTGGTTAGCGTTCAGGGCTAAAATAACATAAACTCAGCTAAAAGCTAAAACAAGCAGATTAGTAGCTAAAATGAACAAAACAGTAGCTTAAAGCTTGAGCAATTAGAAAAACCCGAGCCGAAGCCGTGGAGTATTTCTTCTTCATGACATGTTTTTTTGGTCACATCTTGTCCCGACGTTAGTTTTGGTTTGTCTGTGAATAAATTTATCAAAACATTATTTTAGACGTCATTTTGTTCTTGACTTGGACCAGCGGTTATTTGTAAAAGACAGAACATGACCAGGTTCATGTGTGACGCGGAGCAGGAAGTTCTTTGCTTCAGTTTCTGACAACACCTGAGGTGAGCCGAGGAAAGGATACAAACAACAAAAGCTTCCGAGTTTCAGTGTTTCGGTTGCCAGACCTGATTTGAATAATCCGAATCAGCAGAAACATTTGAGCTCGTTCTGATTCTGAAAACCGGTGCGGTCGGTTTTACTCAGAACGAGTCAGATCTGCTGCTTTGACGGATTAACCTGAAGCTGTCGAACAAGTTCACTCAGTTCTGGGAACAGGATGCCGGGGCCTTCAGAGGGTCACGGGAGGGAACTCAGCGGCCCTGAAATGTTCTTAAAAAGTAAAATACCTGCTTTCAACTCACTTTGACTCTTATTTTAGTTATCAGACCTTAAAGATTTAACGCAAACACGACACTTCTATCTTTTAACTGCAGGTGTTCATACTTTGAGCTCCAATTTATTCAATAAATCACCTCAGACTGCTTCCGAATTTAATTTAACTAATCAATCAGGCTACAAAAAAGCACCAATTATATTTAATTAGTTTGATTCTGTTCGCTTGGAGTGAAAAGAAACACGCCAGTTGTTTCAAGTTTAATTAAAATATAACTTTTCTGTTCAAATTTGTGAAATGATTCACCTTTTTGTTACAAAAACTAAACTCAGAGCCAATTTAACATTCTTTTCCTAAACTTAAAGGTGATTTTAATTCAGTTTAACTTTATTTTAATGTTTATGAATGCACCTAAATGAAGTTATAGTTTAATTAAATGGAATTTGAATCCGACGTTAAATTTGATTAATTTTATAAAGTGGTATTAAAGTTCTGTCTCAATCAGCTTCATGCATCCTTTTTAATTTATTCCAATTAATCCTAATTCTCTAAATTAATTATGATCATCGTTGGATTTAAAAGGATCATATTTAATTTTCCTAATAAGTCCAGTCCAAATGAATTGGTCCAATTGAGGATTAGTTTGTATAAAACTGATGAATTGAAAAAAATCTTCCAAATTTTACTTTACAGCGAAATAAGCTACAAACTTTATTTAGTCCTCGACTGAAGCTCAAACTTTTCAAAGTTCAAGTCTAAATAAAACTGAGTGAAAAAAAAAACCTTTGCGCTTTTTGTTTCGGACATTTGCAGCCGAAACGAACGTGAAAACGTCCAGTTTGAAAGTATTTTACAAACTGCAGACAGGCAGCTCGCAGCTTAGCTCCTGATTCAACGTTTAATTCATGAAAACTTTATTTAAATGTGTCTCAACCTCATCGTTCATTAAAATCTCAGTCAAACGTAAACAAGTTTTAAAGATCTAAACGTTTCAATCTGTCGCATTCCTCCTCTGAATAACCTGACAGCTCGATTGTTCTCTTTGTTAATCCAAAACACTCGGCAGTAATTTCCCCTCTTCTTTGTTCCTGCTCCGAAGCATCACCTGGCGTCCCGTCAGAACCTTTTCAGAACCTGTTGGTTCTGTTTGTTGTTGGTGGAAACACGTCTGACCTTCTCTTTGCTCTTTCTCCAACAGGAAGTGATGCCCAGCTCAGCGGTAAGCCTCTTCTTCTTTCAAATGCAGAGCTGAAAATCTCCGTATCAGACAAACTTCTCTAAACTTGGGCACGTTTTCATCCAATCTTCAGCTAAAATCAAGTCAAGTCTATTTTATCGTCATTTCCATCATGAGGTGGAACAAAAATATGTGCACAGGGTCCCAGTTACATCCAACAATAGCAAAAATATAAAGTGTAAAAAGAAACGGTAAATAAGGATCTAAGATATAAACTAAACACTAATAATGTAAAACAATACGGTGTAACTAACAACAGCAGCACAAACATGAGTCTGCGCGAGCAGATGGGTACGAATGAACACAGCAGCATGGATAAGCAGCAGCGTGAGATAATCAGCAGCAATCAGTCACATATCACCAACTAAAGTGACATTACGGTAATTATTATTATTTTATTTACAGAAACAATCTTAATCAAATCTTAAGCGTCTTAAAAACATTGAAAAACAAGAAGACAAAAAGAGAATGCATTGAAAACAGATCATTCTGAGCTCAGAGACGATGGAAGTCGATGGGAGTTTGGGTGTGTGCCTATCGCCCTCCCCAACAGACTTATCTTTCACTCTGAACTCTGGGGGCCTCCCTAGGGAGGTGCTTCGGAGGAGACCCCAGTGAAGACCACCTTGGAGTCCTCCCAGAAGAGCTGGAATAGTTGGCTGTGAAAAGAGATGTCTGGGCCTCCCTGATCAAGATGCTGCCCCCGCGACTCGACTTCAGAACAAGCGGAAGATAATGGAGGATGGATGGAACGTGTCCCCTCACACATTTAAAAAATATTCATGTGGACACTCCCCCCACACACACACATTTATCGTGAAATATTAGTTTACCCAGCGCTGTTTCTATTTCTTCGTGAGTTAATCCATTCCACTTGATTAACATCCATCCATCCATCCTTTTACCCGCTTCTTCCATTTTTTGAGTCACGGGGGGTCACCGGTGCCCATGTCCAGCAATCCCTGTGCGAGGGGCGGAGTACACCCTGGACAAGTCGCAAGTCCATCACAGGGCCACATAGAGACAAACGAGACAAACAAACATTCACTCTCTCACACACACCTAGGGACAATTTAGAGTTACCAATCAGCCTAACATGCATGTTTTTGGTCTGTGGGAGGAAACCGGAGTACCCGGAGAAAACCCACGCATGCACGGAGAGAACATGCAAACTCCATTTGATTAACAGAATTCTCAAATCACTAAAAATCCACTCCGGGTTTTCCTGGAAGCGGTTCCTGCGAAATGGAGCATGCGCTATTCACACAAGGGGAGCTGTTGGTCAGGCTATTGTTGCTCTCTAAAGTAGTTATTGAATCAGGTGTTTACAAGTGTAAATGGACTGTACTTATAAAGCACGTTTCTATCTTATCAAGATACTCAAAGCTCTTTACAACACAATCTGTGCCTCATTTACCCATTCATACAGCTCTATACTAGAGCTATACAAAGACTAATCAGTGCTTTATCACATTCAGACACCAGTGGGACACACATCGGAGGTAATGAGGGGTTCAGTGTCTTGCCCAGGAATACTTCAGCATGTGACTGCTGGTGGAATCAAACCCCCAACTCTTGCATTGGATGACGACTGCTCTAACCACTCAGCCACAGCCGCCCCATGTAGATGTTTAATAACCCATTAATACAGGAAATGACATCTACTTTATTAAAAATTTCTGGGGGAGAACCCCCAGACCCCCGTTTGGGTTGAAAATCTGTAGAGAATGGTGAAAACATAGAGTAAGGAGAGCTTGACTGCACAGATGTTGGAGAGTTTGATCAGTTTTAAATGTAGACTCTAAGATGAACGTTCTGTATGAAAATCTCCTAAAATCATTAAACCCGTTAAAGATATCAACGCTAAAATACAGATAAAACACAAACATTAAAAAAACACCTGCTGTTTGTTTGTAGTAGATTCATCTTAATTTCCTTGATTTTGTGTTGTTTCAGCAACTCCGTCTGTTTCAGCCTCAACTGTCAATCATCCTGCTGATTGATGACTGATTCTGATTCCTTTAACTTCCTGTTTCCTCGTGTTTTAACTCTTAAATGTATTTACTGATTCTTTACCTCTGAGCCGTTGTCATCTGGAATTTGATTTCTCTTCCTTTTTCTGTGAACTTTAATTACAGATGTGAACTTTCATTTTGGATTCTTTCTTTCTTGTTTAGTCACAGCGCATCATGTACAGCTCAAAAAGCCTTATTTATATTATATGATTAATTTGATATATTTGATTATAATGATATGATTAATTTGAAAAACAGAATAAACTAAGCAACCCAAAGCTCTTGGTTCTTGCACCGGTTTGATGTGCGAACATGTTTCTGCAGTTTGTGGCACTGCTCCACTCAACACCAAGAAGGAAAACAGGATTGTTGGAGGTCAACAGGCGGCTGCCGGGGCCTGGCCCTGGCAGGCCAGTCTGCAGATCCGAGGAGCTCTCTGTGGGGGGTCTCTAATCAACAACCAGTGGGTCCTCAGTGCTGCTCACTGCTTCTCCAGGTGAGCTCTGATTCAGAATTGTGCTTAGTTGAAGGGAGAGAAGGATTATCGACTGGAGAGACAGAGGGATCAGGCTGGAAAGGATGTGCAGCAGATTAAGCTTGTTAAAGATAGGAATGGGTAATGTTCTAACAAGTGAGGAGAGTTTGACGGGAAGATGGAAGGAGTACTTTGAGGAGCTAATGAATGAAGAGAATGAAAGAAAAAGAAGAGGTCATCAAGATCTGGAAGAGTTGTGGAAACTAGAAAATAAGATTAATTATGATTTTTTTGTTGTTGTCTGGTCTTCACGACTTTGCTTTGAGTACCTCTAACCCTGATGTCTGATTTTCTCAGCACCAGCACTTCAAATGTGCAGATTTACCTCGGAAGGTTAAACCTGCAATCCACAAACACCAATCAGGTGGTCCTGTCAGCGTCCCAGATCATTGTGCATCCGAGCTACAACAGCAACACAAACAACAACGACTTGGCCCTGGTGAAGCTGTCCTCCACTGTGACGTTCACGGACTACATCAGGCCCGTTTGTCTGGCGGCAGACGGCAGCGTCTTCCCAGGAGGCCTGGACAGCTGGGTCACCGGCTTTGGAACCACTAGCAGTGGCGGTAAGTACCAATGCAGTGAGGCTTCCATTGGTGTCCAACAGGACGCTGACATTTACTCCATCCCGGAGTCAGGGATTGGGCTAATGATGCAGGCAGACTTCTATTTACTACTTAACAAAATATATTACGAACTTGGGTTCCAACACTCAGAAACTGAAATAAGGACCACTGAGTGGAGACCGAGCGGCACAGAAGGATGCAGTGACTTTTTGTCTGGAAAATATTTTGCTGTGAGACGCCGTTATTTTTTCTTCTAAAAGCGACATCATGAAGTGAAACAACAAATGACCAGACAAACACATACAGGCCCACATCAGATGAGTTAAAAAATAACAAGAATCTGTCAAGATCAGCTACTTTGAGTGTTTAGCCTTTTGTTACTTTTAGCTTCTAGCTAGCCTTTTGCTATTAAGTTCCTAGCTTATTTGTTACTCTTAGCTGTTCTTTGCTCCTTTAAGCTTTTAGCTACTTTTAGCTTCTAGCTAGAGGGGCCACAGTAGCTCGGTGGTCAGTGTCGCGGTCTTGCAATCCTGAGGTTGCGGGTTCAAGCACAGGTTGCATCAGGAAGGGCATCTGGAATAAAATAAATGGTCAAATCTTTCATGTGAGTTTGTTCACTGTGGCAACCTCTGAAGAAGGGAGCAGTCAAAAGTAACTTTCTAATTAGCGTTTGTCAGCTTTTAGCTAATGCTTAGCTCCTTTTAGCTAACCTGGTGCTACTTTTAGCTTCTAACAAGCCATTTGCTATTTTAAGCTTCTAGCTAGTGTTTTGCTTTTTAGCTGGTTTTTGCTCCTTTAAGTTTTTACCAAGTTTTTGGCTACTTTTAGCTTCTAGCTAGTAGCTTTAATCTTGTGTTTTGCTCCTTTAAGCTAACACTTTGCTACATTTAGCTTGTTAGCTAGCCTTTTGGTACATGTTTTTACCATTCCTTAATGACGCTTGTAGATAGTTGGGTACATTTATCTTTTAGCTAGTCTTTTGCTACAATAGCATTTAGGTAGTATTTTGCTACAATTTGTTTTTAGATAGCTTTTGGGAACTTTTAAATAGTATTTTGATACATTCGGCTAACATAGTGCTACTTTTAGGTAGCATTTTGCTACAGTTAACATTTTGCTTGTTCATGTTTTAGCCAGTTTTCCCGTTTGTTCTCTTGTCCAGGTACTGTTTCGAACACGCTGCAGGAGGTGGACGTTCCCATCGTGACCAACAGCGACTGCAACAACTCGTACGGTTCGATCACGAGCAACATGCTGTGCGCCGGCCTGACTCAGGGAGGGAAAGACTCCTGTCAGGTGAGGTTTGAACAAAGTCCTCTTTCCTCAGTGAGTCGTGAAAAGATCTGAAGGACAGTTGAAGGCTGCACGCTGCTGGATCAGGGGCTGGTTTGAACTTGCAGCATTTCCATTTGTGACGTTAAATAAATGCACAGTAAAATACATCGTATGTCGTTGTTCTCAGGTTAAGAATCAGAAAAGAAACATTTTTGATGTGTCCTGATGGGTCTCAATTTGAACAACCCTTTTCGGTGTGTTCAGGGGGACTCCGGCGGCCCGTTGGTCTGCATAAACGGAACCACGTGGGTCCAGGCCGGAGTGGTGAGTTTTGGAAACGGCTGCGCTCAGGCCAAATACCCGGGAGTCTACGCCCGAGTCTCGCAGTACCAGGCCTGGATCAGCAGCCAGGTCACCGGAGACCAGCCGGGCTTTGTCAACTTCCAGAACAGTTCCAATACGACGGTAACGACGGGAACAACGGGAACAAACGGAGCGGCTCATGTCATCTCCCTGTCCGTCCCCCTGCTGCTGTCCATCCCGCCTGTCGTCTTCACTATGTTCGTCCTCTCATGAGACATTTAATGAAGCCTGGACTCACCTGGCCAGGTCCAACCATCAGCTTAGAGTCAGAATCTGTAAAAAAAAATACCTCATTCATCCTGAAACGTTCTGAGGTTCTGCACAGAAACAAATAATTCCACTTCCTGTCCAGTGCTTTTATTTTACAAAACAACAAGCATCTATAATTTCAATCTGTCCAACGCAAATAACTACATTTATCTCGTTTTTTTTTAAAGCAATTTAATTTAGACATCAATAAAACTTGTTTTTTTTTAAAATATGCAATAATAATCAATTCATAAAGTACTGAAACTAATCATACAAAAATTTTAGCATTTAGCTAGAATTTTCTAACTTTTAGCTAGAATTTTGCTACTTTTAGCTTTGGCTAATAGTTTACTAATTTTAGCTTCCACATACCATTATGCTCATTTAGCTGTTAGCTCGCTTTTGAGAACTTGTTGTTTTGAGCAATATGCGACTACTTTTCACTTGTGTATGCATAGTTCCCATAGTATAAAAAAAATCACTAAAGGCAACAACAGAATATGAATATATCAAAATATTACACATAAAGTGCTTATTTTTTTAAACACTGAATATAGTTTTTATTTTACTCTGCCATAAGTTTGTAATAAACATTTTTTTTAAGGGTTAGTAGGATACATTTATTTTTAACTTTAAGCATTCTTTGAGTGAAATAATGAAAAAAAAATAATTTTTAAATTTGATTTAAATAAATCTAAACAGGAACTATTTTAGCACATTCTGTACTCCGTACTCGGAGAGTTTCTCCATCAAACTGAGCAGAGTTTGTATTAAAGCTTATGAAAATAAATAAATAAATAAAGGTCTAGTAGAATAAAATTATTTTTTTACTTTAAAAAAATTGGGGGTGAATTTAAAACAATTAATTGATTCAAACAAATCTGAACAGGCACTGTTTTGGCACGTTTTGTACTTCGTACACAGAGTTTCTCTGTCAAACTGAGCAGATTTTGTCTTAAAGCTGATAAAAAATAGATAAAAAGATTTTGCTGACATTTTTCTGAAAAATAAAAAAGTCAGGAAGGATAGTTTTGTTCATTAGTTTATTTAAAGTTTATTTGTTTGTATTAATGTTAAACATTTACACTGACGGTGAGTTTTTAATCAGTTTAAAAACTGATATGAAGTTGATGAAGATTAGCTGATCTGTATATTTTTTCTTTGATAATTTACTTATTACCTCTTAAAGCTGAGCTGTAACTGTGATTAAATGTTGATTCAAAGATATTTTCTTCAACACAAACATGTTTACATTCCCAGGATCTCGTTTTTTTTATTCCTCTTCTTGTTTGTTCTCTCGTTCGAAGTTTAATAAATTATACTGTCTGAATATTTACAGCTTTAACTGTGAATGTTGGATCTTTCTGTAAAATGAACAAAAATAAAATGAAGAATAAAGCTGCACTGGACGATGGTGTGACAGGCTGTGATTGATTATTGAAAAGCTCTTTACATTTATCAATCGAGTCACAACTTTAAGGGATTTAGTCAGTTTGGTACATTTGATTTTTAATTAAAACAAGATTAGCACTTTAAAAAAAAACAATATATAGGACAAAAGCAAAAAAAAAAACCCTGAAGTTTAGGTTAATAGCGTATGTTTTAATGTTTCTCTATTTTTAGATTTAAAAAAGTAAACAAACTCTTTAATTTATTGTCAGTCTAGCTGGACGGACTTTAATTAAAATATTCAATAATATGATAACAATTTCAGCTGCATGCTGAGTCATTGCCAATCTGAAAAGTTCCTGTGTTTCCCAGTTTCCATCCATCATCTGGTTCTGGACTCAGGTCTCGGGGGCAGCTTCTTGATCAGGGAGGTCCAGCCAGAACTTCTGGGAGAACTCAAGGTGTTTCCAGAGCAGCTGAGAGACGTAGTCTCTCCAGCATGTCCTGGGTCTTCTCTGGGTTCTCCTTCCAGTCGAACATGCCTGAACCACCTCAACTGGTTCCTCTGGATGTGGAGGAGCAGCGGTTCTACTCCGAGTCTCTCCTGATAACTGAACTTCTCACCCTGTCTCTATTGGAGAGTCCAGTTACCCTGCAGAGGAAACTCATTTCAACCTCCTGTATCCATGATCTCATTCTTTCTGTCACTTCGTGACCATACGTGAGGGTAGGAACGTAGACTGACCAGTAACCAGAGCTTTGCCTTACAGCTCAGCTCCCTCTTCACCACAATGGACCGGAACAGAGTCCACAATACTGCAGATGCTGCACCAATCTGTCTTGTCAATCTCACGCTCTACTCTTCCCTCACTGTGAAGAAAACCACAAGATACTTGAACTCCTCAACATGAAGCAGAACCTCACCCTTGACCTGAAGAGAACAATCCACCCTTTTCCGGTTGAGGACCATGACCTCAGATTTGGAGGTGCTGATTCTCATCCCAGCTGCTTCACGCTCGGCTGTGAACCGCTCCAGTGAGAGCTGAAGATCACGGCACGATGGCGCCAACAGGACCACATCATCTGCAAAGAGCAGAGATGGAATCCTGAGGCCACTGAACCGACTCCCTCCACCCCCTGGCTGCACCGAGAAGTTCTGTCCATAAAATTTACAAAGAGAATCCGTGACAACGAGCACCCATGGTGGAGTCCAACTCCAACCCTGAAGGGTCCGACTTACTACCGGCAAAGTGAACCAAACTATCGCACTGCTTGTTTAGGGACTGAACAGCCCGTAACAACAGGCCCCTAATCCCATACTCACGGAGCACCCCCACAGTGTACCCTGAGGAACACCTGCCTTCTCCAAGTCCACAAAACACATGTAGACTGGATGGGAAAACTCCCATGACCCCTCAAGGATTCTAGTGAGGGTAAAGAGCTGGTCCAGTAATCGGACGGGCCAGGACAGAACCCACATTGTTCCTCCTGGATCTGAGGTTCGACCAACGATCGGAGACTCTTCTCTAGTACCTCTGAATAGACCTTACGTGAGGCTAAGGAGAGTGATGCCCCGGTAATTGGAGCACACCCTCCGGTCCAACATTTTGAAGAGGGGAACCACCACCCCAGTCTGCTGATCCAGGGGCACTGCCCCCGATGTCGGTTTTCAGATTAACCTCTCCCAGTTTCAGTTGACTAAAAAAATGCTTTTATAAAACAACAGAACGTCATTCTTTCATTTCAGATGACAAAAACGTGTCACACTATGAGTCATTCAAACTTTATACAGGTCTGTGTCACGAGGACTCATGATGCTGCCGCCACCGTGTTTCACTGACAGGACTGACTCAGAGCTACTCTTAATGACCAAAATGTTATTTTTATCTGTTGGTGAACTCGGAACGTGTTTGTTAAGAAGTAGCTGCATAAATTTTAGTCTGTTTTGCACCAATTAGACATATTTATGTATTTCTAAAAAAAAAAATAAAGCATTTTCAGCTGTCTTCAACCGTTGACCACGTTCTTACGTCTCTTTATAAAAGAATCTTTTTGACAGACTCGTCTTTCAGTTTTATATACGAGACGTTTAATGATGAGCTGTTAACCTTTCTAAGGTTCCTTCATGTTTTCACAACACAAACCTTATTTGTTCCTCCGCAGATCTTGACTCATTTGGTTTTTGTTGTGTCACGCAGGTCAGAGGTCATGTGACTCTGAGGTCTCCCTCAGGTGGACCTGTTCGAACTCTGCAGACGCAACATCTAACCTTTCAGTGAAGACCTCAAACATTTATTTTATTATCGATTCTCCTTCATCCTTTGACCCGGAACTGATTCAGAAACATAACTTCCCTTCAGTCAGTTTCTCCTGTGGTTCAAGTATTTCTGTCTCTCAGCTGAACTGAGATTCCTGTCGGTTTAACTCTGACTCCTGCTGGAAGAAATATTTACTGCGTCATTATTTCACCACGATATAAAAAAAACAAACCTGAAAAATAAGATAAAATAAAAATGATCAGACCAAAAATCCATTAATTCAGAGAGGATGGACTAAAAAAGCTGCTTTTTTTCTGCAAAAGTCCAGTGAGAACACTGAATGGTTGCTGAAATGTGATGAAGAAGATAAAACTGAGTTCTTAACGTTAAAATAAGCAAAGCCACAGCTAAAGTAAATAAATAAATAAATAATAATAATTTAAAAAAATAGTCAAGCTGAAAGCTAAAATGAGCTACCAATGTTCATGCTCACTACTCCAGGTACAAATCCAAAAATGTTCAGGTCATCTAGACGTTTTTTGTTGTTTTTTTTCCAGGAAAGATCGTCCTTCATCCAAAGGACTTCTTCAGTCCAAGTAGCCACAACAAACTGGAGTCCCACAAGTACCACACTCCCACAGGGGGAAAAAATTGTTTGTTTGTTTGTTTTCCAGAAATCAGACACCATCTTATCACCAGCAAAATGTTTTGTTTTTCCACTATGGGAGTATGCTGTTTGTGGGACTCCAATTTGTTTGTGGCCCCTCAGACTGAATAAGTCCTTTGGATGAAGGATGAAACATCTCAAAAGAAACCATCTAGATGACCTGACTGAACATTGTTGAATTTTACCTGATTTTTGAGCATGACTTTGGTGTTTTGAACCATTTTTAGCGTGACTGCCTCAGAGGAGTTGACAGGGGAGAAGGCGGGCACCAGAAACCATCTTATTACCAACAAACTGGGTTTTTCCACTATGGGAGTGTGGTACTTGTGGGACTCCAGTTTGTTTGTGGCTCCTCGGACTGAAGAAGTCCTTTGGATGAAGGATGATACATCTCCGAAAAAAAAAATGAAACCGTCCAGATAACCTGACTGAACATTGCTAAAATAAGCTCAATTGTATCTAAAAGCTAAAGCCAGTAAAACAGTAGCTAAAACCTAAAATTAGCATTAAAATAGCTCAAATCTAACAGTGCAGCAGTAAAAACTAACTTTTGCGAAACAGTAACTAAAACCTAAAATTTGCTAAAACAAAACCTTTGGAGGTAATGTAATTATATCTAAGAAATATATATTTTTATTTAGATAAAACAAAAAGTCATATTATGTCGTTTTGTTTTGTTTTGACACAAGGAGCTTAATGTTTTGTTCTAACAGCTGAAAGCGCTAAAAAAAGATGATAAAGTTGCTAGGTGCAAAAAAAAAAAAAAAAGCGGAAGAAAACATGAAAATTAAGTTTAATATAATTTTCTGTCTCATCTATTCACCGAGAAGTTTATAAACATGATACATGTTAGCGCGTGATTTGTAAAGCCGGGATTTCCGATGTTCCATGAAAGCAGCAGCGTGGGATTAATGTGGAGCCTTCTGATTGGCTCTCAGACCGGAAGTCAGGAAGCAGCCGTTTTTTTTACCGGAGATATGAAACAGTTTGTCTCTCTAGTCTGAACTAAACCCGGCGGGAAGGTTTTTATGGGAAATAAAGCGGCTCGGTTCGTTGTTCTTGTTCTGGTTTCCGGCCTGAGAGCTGAGGACGGAGGAGGATGGTGAGTTTACGGACCTTGGTTGAACACAGACTCCTGGGATGGACAGGTTCTGATGCTCTGTCTGTTCAGGTCTCTGCCGTCAGAGCTCAGGCTGGAGGATGAAGGCTTCTGTAACATCGATGTTCTGGACGGGTCCAGTCTGTCTCACCAGGAGTTCATTGACAGGTCAGCGATCATCAACGAACTGATCAGACCCAACAGACGGTGTAAAATATGATCAATTATTTAGTTTATAGTTTGAGAAATTTTCATCTGTGCTGCAATAATCAAAACATCAGTCGTCAGTAGAAACTTTGTTCAAACACAATAAAAACAATATAATTAAACTATCACAATTATCTAAATGTTAGCTGAAAGATTAGTAGCTAAAAGTTGCATAACACTAACTAAAAGCTGGAAGTAGCAAAAAGCTACTTAAAATATGAAAGTTTCAAATGGCTAGCTAAAGGTATCAAACTCCATAAAAGCTAAAACAGAAAAAGTCTAGCTAAAAGCTAGAAGTAACAAAACGGTATCCTGATGCATGCTCAATAATCCAGGTAGAAAAATCTAAAAAAAAAAAAAAAAATTAAAAAGTGAAGTCAGGTTCTCTGGACGGGTTCAAAAAACAAAACAATAAAAATGTATAAACGTTTCGTCTTTCATCCGAAAGACTTCTTCAGTCCGAGGAGCTGTGTTCAGCTCAGTCTTATAAATAGCACCTTCTCATGGTGGATCAACCAGTTTGTTGTTGACCTCCAGAACTAGCTGTTCACATGATCGAGGACCATCAGCCTAACAATGGGTTGTTGGTGACCTGATGGTTGCTTGTTATTCACAGGGGGCTGAGTGATATTGGCAATCACAGCATTGTAAGAGCGGGACAGTTGAACACGGAGGCTCCGCCCCTGTTTAATGATGGACGGTTTCTTTTCACAAAGATGGCCTCCTTTACTCCTCTCTCAAACCATCATTCCTCTCTGTCCAGGATGTGAACATCTTCATCCCTGAACAAGTGACCGCTGACCTGGAGATGAGTGTAGACCGCAGAGTCCTGGTCTGATGATGTTGCTCTTCTGTGCTGGTCCATCCTTTTGGCCAGTGGCTGTTTAGTTTCCCCGATGTAACCAACCAGTTTGCTGGTGATAAGATGGTTTCTGGGGGCTGTCCTCTCCCCTGTCGACTCCTCTCAAGCTGCTACAGCCAAAGTGGTTCAAAACATCAAGTTTCATGCTTTTGGACTGGTTGGACCACTGTAGGAGTGTACTGCTTAGTGAGGAAAACAGTTTGTTTGTGATTCCTCAGACTGATGAAGCCCTTCGGATGGAAGGGAAAAGTCTCTCAACAACAACAACAAAAGAAACTGTCCAGATGACCTGGCTGAACATTGTTGGATGTTTTACCTGGATTATCGAGCATGAACTTTGATGTAAATAATAAATCTTCTTCTTACACCAAAGTTAGTCATGGAGTTCCTCAGGGTTCAGTGCTTGGACCAATACTCTTTATCTTTTATATGCTTCCTTTAAGTAAAGTTATTAAACAGCATGGGATAAATTTTCATTGTTATGCTGATGATACACAGTTATATTTGTCCATGAAACCTAATGAATCCAATCAGCTACTTAGACTACAAGCAAAAGAAGCAAAAGGCTAGTTAAATGTGAAAGTGTAAACAAGGCTAGCTGAAAGTAGCAACATTTTCTAAAAGCTAACATACCAGAATGTTAGCTAAATGCTTAACTTAGCATAAGAAGCCAAAAGCGGAGCCTGTAGCTAAAGCAGGATTCAAAGAGAACAAAGTTTTTCAAGAAACCCCAGAGATCTCAAATGTTTTTAAGGGAAAAATCTTTGTAAAAAATGTTTAATAGAAGTTACAACAACCGAAAGGCGCAGTGCCATCTCCTAAATGAGTGGAACGTTTTGGTACATAAACAGCTAAAGTGTGCAGTTAGCTGGGCTGCTAAATGAAAGGAAGGACAGTAAAACGTAAAAATCCAGGTTGAGCTCAGAGTCCCACAAACATCAGCAGAGGCCGAGACTCTGAGGTGAAGGAGTTCATTTTTCTGTGAAAACTGAGGACGAGAGGTCCGACGGCTGCGTTCTGTCAGGAGTTCTGCTGGTTTGTCAGCCGAACAGAATAAGCTGTAGGTTTTGTTGTCTGCAGGTACGCATACAGCCGACCGGTCATCCTCAGAGGTCTCACCGACAACACGGTACGTTTTTAAAACCCGGAGCCGTCTGGCTGATGGTGTTTGCTTTAAACCTCCTGAACTTTGAGTCAACGGTAAACGTGCCACGATAGGCGGGTGATCATGTATCTGACCCGACAGCTCGGGACAAAAGTGTGTAAACCCGTCCTCTGGTTCTGTCTGTGTAGAGGTTCAGGTTTCTGTGCTCCAAGTCGAGCTTGTTGGAGGACTACGGCTCCCAGACGGTGAGGCTCAGCACGGCCAACACGTTCTCGTACAGGAAAGGTAAGAACCGGTGGAACCCTGCCCCGGGAGCGTCGGGTGTCTCCGGTGCTCCTCTCACCCTCTGATCTCGCCCGACCCAGTGGACGTTCCCTTCCGGACGTTCGTGGACGAGCTGCTGAGGCCTCAGGCTGCGGACGCGCTCGGCAGCGGTGAGTCTGCTGCCGTCGGACCCGTCTTTACTCGAACAGAACAGCCTCTGAGAACATGTTCTCCTGCAGAGACTCTGTATTTCTTCGGGGACAACAACCTGACGGAGTGGCAGAAGCTGTTCCAACAGTATGAACCTCCTCCGTTCGTCCTGCCGAACACCAGCGGGGCCTACAGCTTCGGCATCGCAGGTCAGACTCACAAACACACAGCCTGAACGTTTACCGGCTTATCTGCGGGTAATCATGTCTTTACCTGCGTCGGCGTGTGGACGAAGTTGAACACAACTTTCTGTCTAAACTGAAGGTGTTGAGGCTGGCGGGTGATATGCATTCCTCAGAGGAACTCTCGAAGTTTAGATTTATTGTTTTTATACGTTTGGACTTGTATCATACTGTGAGGCCTCCTCGGTCTTCTTCAGGTCCGGGAACAGGAGTTCCTTTCCACTGGCACGGCCCCGGATACTCCGAGGTCATCTATGGGAGGAAGGTAAAGACCCAGACAAGATATGTTTGTTTGTTTGTTTGTTTGTTTGTTTGTTTTCCTGTCAGCTCAGCATCACACATGAAGCAGAGCCAACAGGTGAATTCAGGTGTCGCCAGGAACTGAATCAGCTCTGAGGAGCTGTTTGAGCCCGGGAACCTGGAGGTCAGAGGTGTCCAGTCCTGGTCATCGAGGGCCACTGTCCCGCATCTTTCAGCTCTTCCCCGTATCCACAAGTTCTGCAGAAGCCCAGTTGTGTCTCATTCGTTCAAATCTGGTGTGTCAGAACAGAGAAATGTGTAAATTATGCAGGAGGGTGTTCCTCAGGGGTCAGTACTGGGCTCCACTAGTTCAAAGGGTTCGAGTTTTTACATAAAAGGAGTTTGACCCTTTTAGCTGGACAAAGACTTAAGTTTGGAGGCGAGGAGACACGCCTGGTTTCTGACAGCCTCCTTCTGATGGTCTGAGCCAGAAAAGATCCAAACATACATGACTCCGCCCCCTTCAGAACCAAACAGGATGTAAACCCGAGAATCCTCCTGAGCACAGATTGGATTCAGTGAAAACTTCAAGTCTAAGATGAAGTTAAGTTTTTCTGCAGCTTCACGCTCTGATTTTAAAGTATAAGCTTCCAGTTTTTAATGTTTAACATTTAAAGAATAAACATTTAGAGCCTTAATTAGATAAAGATGTCTAAAGTTTAAACGCTGCCTTTTTATGTTCTTTATTTCTCTGTCGGACCTGAAACGATGTGATGATTCTCCGTCAGCAGGACAGGCAAATCCTGAGGGTTTTTATTAAAAAATACAAATAAATAAAATCCAAGCAGCTTCTTTCATTCAAACAAAAATAAGTCCAGTTAACTTTTTAAAATAAATGTTTACAATTCCCCTGAAAAACAGAAAAACATGTTTTAAATACCAGGAACGTCACTAGATAAGATTTATTATAATTCTTCTGATCCGTTTCTGATTTGATGAGTTCAGTCAGCTTGCTTCGGCTGCTGCAGCTGGATTTTACCCACAAACTGTATTTATGATAAACTGGACACCGAACAGAACCTGGAAGTTGAAGCTGAAACTTAAAGCGCCCCCGGTGGTTGCCCATAGTATCAGTTTGAGTTCATGTTCATTGAAACGTTTTGCTAATTAAATAATATAAAAAACTCCAGCAAATGTTTTTTAAAATAATTTATTTCTGTTTCTGCTCATTTTTATTGTAAATATTTATTTGATGCTTAACTGACCGTGTGTGAGTCGAGTAGGCGGAGCTTACATCCCAAGTGACTCTGGTTCCTAAAGTCCAACATGGCAGCTTCCGTCATATCACGGTTTTGCTTTAACCCAGCAGAATTGGCCGTAGACGTGTCGTACCCCTACCATTATACAAGCGGGGTGCCCCGCCCTGTTAACAGAACCGAGCGCCCCGCCTACCGAACCCCCGAAACACTGTGCATTGTTGTTTGCAGTTTTTCGTTGAATAAATTCCCTCTCAGTCGTTCTTCCTTCTTCTCGGCGCAGCGATGGTTCCTCTACCCGCCTGATCAGGAGCCTCACTTCCACCCGAACCGGACCACCCTGTCCTGGGTGACAGAAACGTACCCGAACCTGCCGCAAGACGAGGCTCCGCTGGAGTGCACGATCCGACCCGGAGAGGTGAGCCGAGTCGAGTGGCAGCTTGACGACGTTTTTAATCACAGCTCCTGTTTTTTTATCTTTCGCCTCTTTAGTGTTCTGATTAATTCAGCAGCTGTTGACCTGTTTTAGCTGTGCTTACATCAGCCGATGGCTGCTGGGACTTTTTTGTACAAAGATTTTGCTTTCACCTCGCATTTGACTACTTTTGGTCTTTAGCTGCCATTTTGCTGTCTTTTAGCTTTTAGATAGTCTTTTGCTACCGTTAGCTTCTAGCTACCTTCATACTACTTTTAGCGTTTAAATACCTTTTTTGTTACTTTTAAATTTTAGTTTTTTTTTTTATTTATTTTGCTATGTTTAGCTTTTAGCTAATCCTAGTTTTATCTAGCTTTGTGCTCATTTAAGCTTTTTGCCCTTTTGTGAGTTTAGCTATTGTTCTGCCACTTTGTGATTTTTAGTCAGCCTTTTGCTAGTTTAGCTTCTAGCTATCATTCTGCTACTTTTCACTAGCCTTTATTACCGGTAATTTAGTTTTAGTTAGCTTTTCACTCTCAGCTACTTTTCTGCTACGTTTAGCTTTTGGCTAGCTTTTACACGTTTTAGCTTCGAGGTAATGTTTAACAACTTGAGCTTTTAGCTAACCTTTTGCTACTTGTGTCCTTGTTTCTTTAAGGACTCAGTTTCAGCTCCTGCAGGATTTTCAGAAGAAGTAATTTAGTGTTTTTCGTGTTTCAGGGTAAATTCACGGCCCAGCAGCCGTTTTCATCATGTCTTCTGCTTGTTTGTTGTTTTTCCATCAGGTTTTGTATTTTCCTGACCGCTGGTGGCACGCCACCCTCAACCTGGACTTCAGCGTCTTCATCTCCACCTTCCTGGGCTGAGCTGCCGCTTTCCTGCAAACCTGAGAGTTTCTGTCGTGTTCACACTGACAGGAAGGAGGAACTAGTTTCAAACCCAGTCCAGCTCCAGGATCGAGGACCAGCCCGGTTTTATTTTTTTAATGCGCAGTTTGTTTCCGTCATTCCAGGATCTTTAAGCTGATTTCAGGACATAATCCAGGCCCGGATTAACAGATAAATATTATTAACAGAACCAAAAGTCTCAGCAGAGACGGAACCAAAACAGCGTTTTAGATTTAAATCATGGTTAAAGGTAGAACGTTTACAGCACTGTAAAGCTTTTATTTTTTATACTTTTAGGTTCTTCAAACGTTCAGATTTTATTTAAAGCTTCGACTTTAAATAAATTAAAGTTTTTGCTTTTAAAAATCTAAACTGATGGTAGTTTATGACCAAAGGTCAGATTTTATATTTTATTTAGATTAAACCTCTTTAAGATTTTTAAAATCTTTTTATTGCACTTGTATCCCCACAAATTAAAAGTTAAAATAATTCACCTTAAAGTGTCTGAAGCAACAAACTGAGTAAATAGTTAATTATAAAATAAGTTTAATGTAAAAAGTTAATAATGGAAGATTCCACACCTTTATTTTGAAAGTGCTCACTGTGTTTAATTTGACAATAAAGCGTAAAAACTGAAAACATTAAAATCAAATTGGAAAACGTGTGTGTGCTTTACTTCATTTGTAAAAATAAATAAACGTGTTTTTTTCGGTAAATTTCCTAGAAAACAACAATTCTGGTGTCAGTTTTTAGAATTTGTCCTAAGACAGAAAACATAAAAATATTCAGTTTAATGGATTTTTAAAGTTTAATATTTACCAGATTTGTTTACATTTATAAAAATAAAATAAACAGGAAGTTTATTAGACCGTCTCCAGAGATGTGGACTCGCGTCCGTTTGTCCTTCTGGACCGATCACCGCGGTCAAGTGAGCCGACGTTAGCTCTTAAAGATTAGCTTCTCGCATACATGATGCTTTACGGTAATTTGTCATTCATTCAACCTTTTAATGATACAGGTTGGTCCCACTGAGATAAAGCAGTAGGAGTGGCCTTGAAGGTGAAAACCATTAAATTAATGGAACATGAGAGGCATAACTCAAAAATGTATCTATGACATACCTATTACTGTCACAAGCATATACTGTATTCAAAATAAATCTTTGATCATTTTAATGTGGACTTGGGAGATAGATTCCAAGTGCATCAAAATGCTTATCCAGATTATGCATTTGTCTCATTTTCAGGAATTTATTTCTCTCGAATCTTAAAAGGTGACAAGAAAATCTCCTTGGATTTTGTTAAAGGTTTACCTCTACTATAACCGCAATAAATATTTTATAATTTTACTGTACATTTTTGGAGTAATACCAAGTCATAGTACCTCATACTGTGTTCGGTGCCCAGAGACGATTTCTGTTGTGACTTGGTGCTACAGAAATAAACTGAATTGAATTGAATACAGTATTTGTGTTTGTCATTTCCAAACTGAAATCCAGAGATGATTCGTATGCTCTTTGTGGACTTCACGTCTGCCTTCAACACCACGGTCCCCCAGACCCTGATGGACAAACTACTCACACTAGGACTAAGTCCCTCCATTTGCAACCGGGTACTAGACTTCTTAACAAACAGACCTCAGTCAGAGGATCCACAACTTCTCCACCATAACCCTCAGTACTGGCTCCCCTCAGGGCTGTGTACTGAGCCCTCTCCTGTTCACTCTGCTCACATATGATTGTGCAGCTACCCATCCAGGTTGTCATATTGTAAAGTTTGCAGATGATACAGTGGTGGTGGGATGCATCACAAACAATGATGAGTCCAGCTACAGGCAAGAGGTGAAACACCTGGAGAGCTGGTGCAAAGAGAATAACCTTCACATCAATGTGAAGAAGATGAAGGAGATGATCGTGGACTCCAGAAGGAACAAACACGCATACTCTGCCCCAAACATAGGAAGATCTGCGGTGGAAGTGGTCTCCAGCTACAAGTACTTGGGTGTGCACCTGAATGACATCCTCAGTTGGGGCAACAACACCACCAGCCTGATTAAGAAAGCTCATCAGAGACTCTACTTCCTCAGGCGACTGAGGCGAGCTGGTCTTGAAGCTCAGTCCTCACCTTCTACAGGTGTGCAGTGGAGAGCATCCTGTGCTCCAGCATCAACGTGTGGCATGGAGGCTGCACAGCTGCAGAGAGTAAAGCTTTGTAGAGAGTGGTGAAAGCTGCACAGAAGTCTGTTGGAATCAGTCTCCCCACCATCACAGACATCTCCACCTCCAGATGCAGGAAGAGGACCACCTGCATCATGAAGGACCCCACTCACCCAGCACACACACTTTTTGCCCCACTCCCCTCAGGAAGGAGGTTGAGGAGCATTAAGTGTAGAACCACTAGACTGAGGAACAGCTTGTTACGCTGTTAAGACTCATGAATCTCTAACCAGGACAATCACTGTGAAAATCACATGTTGCTGCTGATCTGCTTCATGTTGCTGTTGATCTGCTTCATGATGCTGCTGATCTGTTTCATGTTGATGTGTTCATTCATGCTCATCTGCTCACTCAGACTCATGTTCGTGCTGCTGTTCGACGTATTGTTTTTATGCTATTAGTGCTTTGCATATTATTTAGTTTATGTTTTTCTTAGTTCATACTGTATCTTAGATCTTATTTCTGTTTTGCTTTTACATTATATTGTTGGATGTAACTGGGACTTTGTGTACATAATTTTGTTCCACCACATGTACCACATGAGATGTGAATGACAGTAAAGAATATCTGAATCTGATTCTCACCGAAAAACACTCAAATCAGCCGAACATCCGGTTCTACAGCCAATCTGACATTTTTACTCAAAAACAAAAATTCAGGTGACTGACACGAACACTGTCAGAAAATAAAAATATTAAATCAATCTGGCAGATAGTGGATGGAAACGATTAAAAACCGTCTGTAAAATTATTAAACTTAAAATGATGAAACGATAAAAGTCTGAGATAAAACTCAGTGTTTAACTGTGCGTTACTTCCTGTGAGAGAAACAAAATGTTTTAAAACTTTATTTATTTATAACTTTTCTTATATTAAGAGACACTTTATTTATTCATATAATTTAATAATTTAACTTTTTTAATGAGCTTAGTTTTGATTATAACCAAAGAAGAGAAATGAAACGACACATTTCAGAATAAAAGCTTCCTGTTCTTTCTGTTGGATGTAGAACCAGAGAACCCATCCCTCTGGGTCAGAACTTCTGCCTCCTGGAAGGTGAAAGGTGAGGCTCACCTGCAGCCAGGTCACAACCACACAGGTTCTGGACGAGAGCGGAGGTCTGGGACTGTCAGGACCAGCAGGACTCCACTAACAAAGACCCTCATGGTGGGGTTCTTGTCCAGTCCAAACCCAGCAGGACCATGAAGGAGACGCTCTGAAGCAGAGACATGGGGGACGTCTCAGGTTGACGCTTTAATGGAGAGAAGATCCCGTGAGCCTCAGGAGGGTTCTGTCCGAACCCAACACGATGGTGACCTTTAAAACCACCAGCACCCGTCAGGCAGAAGACACCAGCTGGGCGTGTTGCGTATGCAGTCCGGCTCAGCCAGGTGAACTCACAACTTCTGCACCCCGCCTCAGAACCCAGACACCGTCCAGAACTTGGCCCAAACCTTCTGATCCACTCCTCACCTCTAGTTTCCTTCCAGTCAGACTTTCACTTCTCCAAACGTTTCACTCGTTGTCCGTTCCTTTTCCTGATTATTTTAAGATACATGTTTTAAACTCAGGCAGGAGTTTGATGTTTTTACAGTTTCTCCTAAAATAAATCAAAACTTCTGAGAAGCAGCAGCCAAAGTCCAAACCTTCAACATTTTACATGCAGTTACTGTCACCACCGCTAGAGGGCGCGCCTCCATCCAGAGTCATGAAGCTGAACAGGGAGTGGTGGAAAAATCAGCTGAAGCTACTTTTAAATACTTTATTGCAAACCTCCAACGAAATAAATGTTCTGATTTGTGTTGAGTTTAAAAGATCTCAAGGTTAATCTCAAGGTTAAAAAGCAAATCGGTCTCCCCGTCACGTCACATCGACCATATTTGGAGACTCCAGTTAACTTTGTTAAGACGAGCTGGTTTCAAATCCTCTGCGCCTGTTCTGTTTTGAGGGGATCAATAATTTTTAGCTGATGTTGGTGTTTGTTGTTTCTTTTTGTTTTCTGTGTTTCAGGGATTTTTCAGTTTCCTCTGTGTCATCAGCCACTTTCTCCTCAGACTCCTTCAGCTGATTTTAACTACTTTTTTTTAGCTTTTAGCTATTGTCCTGGTGTCTTTAGCTTCTGTTCTGTTGATTTTAGTTTCTGTTCTGATGGTTTTAGCTTATAGCTACTGTCCTGTTAAATTTAGTTACTGTTCTGCTGAGATTCTGGTCTGGATCTTTGATGGAACCAGACCAACAGACAACTCTGCTTTAAAGACCTGAAGAACATGTGTGTGTGTGTGCGCGCCTCTGTGTGTGTGTGTGTGTGCGCGCGCCCCTGTGTGTGTGTGTGCGCGCCCCTGTGTGTGTGTGTGCCTGCCTCTCTGTGTGCGTGTGTGTGATGACACACTACCTGACCTCTCCGGTTTCAGAGAAGTGGATCAAGGCAGACCGAGGACCACAGATGTCCCAGTGAGGGACAGACGGGCTGGAGGACAGATGGTCCGCCTGCAGAGACGCAGATGTTTACTGAAGTTGTTTTGGAGTAAACAACAGACGCAGGTAAGACTCACCTGAGCTCACCTGTCCGGTGGGAGCTGACCCCAGGCCGGCTGGTTTTAGTTGTGGCGTCTGCTTTTCAACTCGTCCGTCTGATGTTTCTGCCTGTTTGTGTGTCTGTGTGACCAAAACCTGCTCAGGTTAGAAGTTCACCTGATCTCTGGGTGGTAGTAGCTGAGGGTCACTCCCACACTCTGAGCTCCAGCAGATTCCATGTCAGACTGGGTACAGGTCCCATGATCTGGTCAGGATCTTCGTCCTCAGATGATCTTTTCCCACCTGCACTGTGTCCACCTGACACAGCTGCAGCCGCTTCCCTCATCAGTTCCCGCCCACTTTGGTGTTTGTTTGTTTGCCACAGTCCGGTCATTTGTGATTTGATCTGAAACATCTGCACTCCTGGATTCATCCTCCTAAAACCGTGAGTTTAAAGCTCAGGTGTGTCAGGTGACATGCATTGCTCTTCAAGAATCAAGGCTTTTATTTTACTGTGTTTTCATGAAGGTCAGGATCTCCACGAGTTTCAGTCGCTGAGCTTTTCGTGTCTGACC